TCCCTTGCCTCCCTCCCTCCCTCTTTCCCTTTCTGTCCACCTCTCCCTCCCTCTGCATAATTTGTAGGACTACTGGCCAGGGGTCATCCGATTACTTGTATATTTGTATGTAATATTTATCAAAGACCTCTATTGTTGCTTTTTTGCTCTCTGCAGTTTTCCTGATTGATTCATGACCTTATTTAGTGATAAGAAGAAAAGTCCTATCTTCACTGAAGGATTCACTGAAGGATCCACTGAATTGTCTCATTAATTCAACTACATTACATCCCTGAAAACAACTCCTCCAATGTAAGCCTTACGTCTTTCTCGGTCCCTTAGAAAACATCATTCTAATGTTAATACAGATGTGAAAGAACAGCCAGCCTCTTCCTTTCCTTCCACGGCCAGAAGGCCCGCAGGGTGCTAGTAGGGGAGCAGCCATGCCTTCTTGTAGAAACATCTGTTTGCAGTGCTCTGTGAAATCTTGGCAACTCTCTAGCTTTGCCTCGCATTCCCAGTGAATTTATCCGGTTGAAGAATGGGAATTACTATGTTTTGACTTCAGTGTTTGCTGTAGTCAGATACATTATAGGCACAGTAGTATTAGTGAAGCTAGACAGAAAAAGTGAAAGCTTTAAGGACAGATTGGGAGAAGGCAGAGTCAGAACAAGATTCATATGCTTTGCCAAACACTGAACTGCTGCTGATCCCCACATTTGGGGAATAACTAGGAGTTTCAGGTGTTATGCTTGTGTTTGGGTTTATGTGGAAAACCATTGAAGGATTTCTGCCTTGAATGTGAGCTTTCAGTCCATAAAAATATAGCTTTGTACTTCATCCTCAATAAACACACTATCGGTAACTCAGAACTGTGCTATGCCCAAGACAGAAACATAAGCAATGTGGATGGATTTGTTGTAGCTTTCCCATTTTTAATATGACAGTCATCCACAGTTTATATTTAGCCATGCTTTTTGATTTAGCAATTCTAAATAAATTTTCCAATAAGTTTTGTAATGTGTTTTGTCTTTGATACAGTATAAGTATTTGATTCTGCTATATGAGGTGTAACAGTTAAATGCTGAGCCGTAACACACACATGAAGACAAGGCTTATTGTTTTAATGTCATATTTGAAATTTGTTTATTCAACATTGTATTGATATTGTACATTGTGTGAAAATGAATAGTAAATGTGCCAAAGAAGCATAAATTACCCTCAGATCTTAACTCTCTATGTTAATAGAGGTGAGCATGTTGGAGGTATATATAGATTCCAGATCAGTAAGAATCACATATATATTCTATTGTGAAATGTATTTCAGTATATTTTTGTGTTCATATATGTTTATATGTGTCTATGTGTTGTGTGTGTGCCACAAATATGTTATCACAGATGATAATGTGTGTATTACATATTTTCATAATTTTGCTTTTTTCCTAAGGCTATTTTTAAAAATTCTAATTTGCATTTTCTGTGCAGTATATATACAT